AAGCAGCTGATGATGACTTCGACTAAGACACTACCCTGAGGTGCTCCTGCAGCTATGTTCTGGGACTGAGATGATTGACTTCAGCAATCATAATCTTCTATCTTTGTTACAGCTGTGACACTAATAATTGTAACATCTTGCCCCAATTCCCACTGACATCAACTTAACTTGGATTCCTCAACCTGATTTTCAGTCAAAATCTGCCTTGATGTCAATTAGCAGCTCATGTTTAACTTCTGAAATTCAGTTATTTTGTCTATATATGTGCCAAAACTATAATGAGTCTTACACACACAAATAAACAACAACAACAACAGACAAACTGCATGGAAAACAGCTCACTGCAGTTGAATTAATAGCAGTGGGGCAGCAAGTTGAGACCCTTAAGTGGCCAATTAAGGACCATTTAAGGGCCTCAACTGGAAGAGGTATCGGTAAGTCAACCATGGACATTCCTACCCGAACTTAATTTCGATGGAGGTGGGGTTCAGGTATATCACCACCCTACCTAATTAATTGGGCTTCCCACCTCTAAACTCACTATCTCCAGAAGCACAAGTTTCTGGCCACAATTTCATCATCATGGGTAGGTGGTGAAGAGGGGAATTTTTGAAATCCATGCTTGCAGCTTAAAAACTCATTTCCAATGTTAATGTCAGTAGAGATATTTTCAGATCAACTGTTCAGTGATGTTATGACATAGCTTTGGAGCTGCAGAGTCCTGAACCCAGGCCTCCTGGTTCAAAGGTAGGTATAATGATCAACTCACCTTGTCATTTCCCCCATAAAATAACACATTGGGTATAACATTTTCCTCAGCTGTGTGCATGAAGTCAGGTGTGTAATTCATTCACTTGGTTAATTTTAAAAAGAGAAGCTATTTTCTTTGATGATTTTGCTATCCCTACAGATTTACTGCCTCTCTATCTGAAAGACACGTAGGAAATGATTCATTATTAAAAACACATAGAAGTAAACAAAGAGTGATTACCATCTTCACTGATGAGATCAAGTCAATAATCATGAATAAACATTGGCAATAAGATTTATTACGAGAAAATAGAATGGTTTGAAACAAGAAGGGAAATAGAAATTGAGGCACTACCAATAGTTTACGGAGACTTGAAGTAAGACAGAAATTGCAGAATCACAGAAGTGTTATGGCACTGTATGAGGCTATTTGGCCAATTATGCCTGCATTGACTTGTTAAATTAGCAACATTATCTATTGTCAGTCTCCAGCTTTATCCCCCCAAAAACTTTGCACACTATTTTTATCCAAATAATCATCCAATATACTCCTAAATACTTCAACTGATCCTGCTTCCAACACTCGACCAGACAGTTCATTCCATTCCCTTACTACTGAGTAAAAATGTTTTCTTCACTTCACTTCACCCATGCTTACTGCTCATGAACAGTTTTCCCTATCCACTCATTCTAGCCTATCCGCGATTTTGAAACCATTATCAGATCTCCTTTTAGCCTTCTTCTCTCCAAGCAGAACTGTCCCCACTTCATCAATCTATCCTCATAACTAACGTTCCTCATCCCTGGAACCATTCTTGTAAACTGCTTCTTTCTTGTAAACTTCTGCACATTCTTCAATATGTTCACATCCTTCCTATAACGTCGTACCCGTATCTGTACACAGGTCTAATAAGTATCTTATACAAGTTCAACATCACCTCCTTGCTCTTGTCTTTTATGCCCCTATTAATAAAGCTGAGGATACTGTATGTTTTACTTACTGCTCTCTCTACCCGTTTGCCATTTTCAATGATCCATGCACATACATACCAAGAACCTATGCTACTGCACTATCCTTAGAACTGTACCCACTATTTTATATTGAAAAACAATGTCCTTCCTAACAAAATTCATTACCTCATACTTCTCTGCATTGAAATGCATCTGCCACCTACCGCCCACCCCACCAACTCATCTATGTTCTTCTGGAGTTCTACATTGTCCTCCTCACACAGTTTACAATTCTTCCAAATGTTCAGTCATCTGCAAGCTTTGAAATTGCCCTCTGCACACCAAGATCTAGATCATTAATATATATCAGGAAAAGCAATGGTCCCAATATTGACCCTTGAGGAATTCTACTACAAACATTTCTCCAGCCCAAAAAATACTCATTGACCATCACTCATTATTTCCCGTCACTCAACCAGCTTTGTATCAATGTTGCTATTGCCTCTCTTATTCCACGACCTGGAACTTTCTTGACAAGTCTGTTGAGGTGGTAATGCATCAAACACCTTCTGAAAGTCCATGTACACTGCATTATCCATATTACCCTCATCAAGCCTTTCCGTCACCTTTTCAAAAAAGCCCAGCAAATTAATTTAAAATAATTTTCCCTTTAGAAATCCATGCTGGCTGTTCCTAATCATCCACGTTTTCCCATGTAACTTCTAATTTTATTCCCAAGAATTGCATCTAGAATCTATCCCACCACTGAATTTACACTGGCTGATCAGTAATTGCTGGGCTTATCTTTACAACCTTTCTTAACAAGGCCACAATTTTACAGTCTTTTGACAGCTCTCCTAAGAGTAAATAAAGCTGAAAGACTGTGGCCAGTGCCCCTGCAAGATCTACTCTCATTTCCTTCAAAATCTTTGGATGCATCTCACCCTGTCCCAGTGACTGGAAAATCAAAAATGAAAAATCTATGTTTTTGGCCATATAGTATATGGATTCCAATATCTACACTTGGAAAGGAGTACATATCTCCCTAAAATATGAAATATTCTGTGTAAACAATATTCAATTTATATTTTAATTTCAAAACAAAAAGCTTAAAAGACTACAGATCACATCAGTCTCAGTGGTAAACATTACTTTAAATAGGAATCATTGTCTAAATAAAGCAACTAAAACTAACTTACTAGCAGGCTTTTGATTCAATCAGATAAACTTAAGAACCTTAAAATCTTGTTTGAACAAAAATACACGGACCTTAGCAATTACAGTGAAGTATGTTGCATGCTAAGTAATGTTGCACATGCTCAGACTAGGAACTGAGTGAATGGCATGCACAGTGAGAGTTCTGGGAAAAAGTTTCAACTGCAAGTCCAAGCTTTACAACGTGGTTGGGTTGGGGTCTTCAATTGAAAAAATACTCAAGACAGAGAGACCATTTTAGTGTTAAATTTAATTATGTTATTCGTGAAGTATACATTTTTCTGGATAAGTTACAAACCTTAATTTGAGCCCTTCGTTAGCAGGCTAAAAGGGGGAAAGTTACAGGTAAAAACGTTTTCAAAAAATACTTAGAGCTATTTAATTAGAATACTGCCTTTATTGGTTTAATATAATTTACTTCGAATGCATCCACCCAGCTGCCTTGGGCTACAATCTATTGTGCAATTAATACCCATCTGGAAGATCTATATCTACAATTAATAACAAAGCCCATGAAAGATTTGTAATTTTTATAAGTTCTTGATAGTATTCTCATCAGTATTTCTTTAGATACTTGTGCATTCACTACATTTTCAGTTACAATGTGCTGCTGTTTTATTTGAATTAATCAACAATGCATGACAAGGGAATTGTAAGTTCACTGTATGATAAAAATGGGACAGTTAGAAAGCACAAGCAAATAGTTTTTATATAAATCATAAAACTGAAATCTGGATTGTAAAGTGCACAATAGAGCTTACAGATTTATATTTTAAGAGATATAACTCTTTAACTCATCTGCAAGTCAATATTTTCATGTTGAACTAGTGAATTAATGATTTAATTTATAAGACCATAAGATATTGTGGCAAAAACAGACAATTCAGCTCATTGAACGTGCTCTCTCATACAGGGAGACTGTGGTTGATCTGAGACTTGTCAACTCTACTTTCCTACCTTTTCTCCATAATGCCTGACTCCCTTACCGGTTGAAAATCTTATCTACTAATGCTTTGAATGCAGTAAAGATCCAGCCTCTACAGCACTCCATGATAAAGAATTCCAGACTTACAATCCTGTGAAAGAAGAGAATCCTCATCTCTGTACTCAGATTGAAAGATGGTATTTTGTGAATAATTTTTTCATAATAACAATCTTTGTCCATAAAACATAAACTGACACTTAAATTGATGATACTTAAACTCAACAGTTTTCATAGAAAAACGTGCTATTAGAGTCGATTTTTGAAACTTTTAATTGACCAAATGAAATGCTGTGTTTGTGAAATCATTCATTTCTAATGTTTATTGAACATTTTTGTTCACAAAAACATTTGGAAATTCTGTGATGAAAAAGGATTTGGACATTTATTCCACAAAATCAAACTTTCTCTTTTAATTTCTGCACAGCCAAAATCAGCATCAAGGACTTTCAATATTGCACATGAGAGGAGAATAATGCCCCTCCATACTGTCCCAAGAATGCACTCCAGGATCACAGAATCCACACAGTGCAGATAGAAGCTATTTGCCTATTGAGTCTGCGCCAACCCGCCAAACAGCATCCCACCCAGAACCATCAGCCCCACCCTATTCCCGTAACCCTGCATAATCCACCTAGCACATTCCTGGACACAACAGGGCAATTTAGCATGGCTAACCCACCTAACCTGCACATCTTTGGATTCTAGCTTAGGCTCAAAGAAGATTCTCCCGAAATGCACCCTTGCAACATCTTTCCACTTAGTATATTGCTAATTCAGTAGCAACAAAAGAAGATAGTGGCCAACAGTGGGTAGTTTTATAAAAAGGGGTGTAATCTTCAAATGAATTCAGTGAAGATTGCTCAAACTCATTTCATATGCAAAATTTACATCCAAACAAGTTTTCAACCCATTCAGAAGTAAAAGGTCAGTATCTACCCACTACACCAATACTGTGGAAACTCCACTATGACCTCTCACTTAACATTAAAAATTTTTAAGGATACACTAAATTAAGACCTTTAATATTGCTCGAATGTACAACATTTATTCTTTTGTGCTTAACATTGAACTGTCCTCGGAAATCACCAATGTTAATTACCTGTTCCATTTACTGAAGTCTGAACTTTCAAAGATTGCTGACTTGAAGAGTCTTCACCTCTTTAAAAAAGGATGAAAACACAAGAAAATGCTGACATACATTTCACAAGTTAGACAAATAGTTAAATACTATAAAATATCTAAAATTTAATTATTTTAACAGATCAAATTTATTTAATTCAAATTTTCATAGCCTGCTTACAGCAAATAATCAATCAGGATTGTTCATTCCTATACCAAACACCTCAGCTGGAGATCACAGCGGTCAGGCAGCATCCATGGACAGAAAGCAGGCTAACCTCTCAAGTCTAGGTAACCCTTCATCAGAGCTAACATGAAGTGAGCTCACTTCAGCTCTGATGAGGAGTCATCTGGACTCGAAACGTTAGCTTGCTTCCTCTCCATGGATGCTACCTGACCTGCTGTGATATCCAGCATTTTTTGTTTTCAGTACAGATTCCAGCTTCTGAAATAATTTGCTTCTACCTCAGTACATACGTCTTGTCTGATAGGTCACTGGTGTACATGGAATGAAATATTTCTTGATTACTCCAGAAGGGTTTTTATATGAATTAGCACAATACCAGCAAAAAACAGAGAATTTTCTGAAGGAATTTCAACTTTCAGCATGGTGTGATCAGAGTTTACTATTTCTCAGTGGCTAAATATTTCACATTTCGTGGTACTGTAGTCCTAACACGAAGAACAAATGCTTCAATAACAAAACCAGAACCATTCCATAAATGATGCATCAATGTTGTTCCCATTTTTAAACAAATATATCTTGGGGTTCATGTCCACGATTCCCTGAAAGCTGCCACCCAGGTGGATAGAGTTGTTAAGAAGGCGTATGGTGCGTTAGCTTTCATTAATAGAGGGATTGAGTTCAAGAAGTTATGCTCCAGCTATCCAAAAACCTGGTTCGGCCACATCTGGAGTATTGTGTCCAGTTCTAGTTGCCTCATTGCAGGAAAGATGTGGAAACGTTGGAAAAGGTGCAGAGGAGATTTACCAGGATATTGCTTGGAATGGAGGGAAGGTCTTACGAGGAAAGGTTGAGAGAGCTAGGGCTTTTCTCTTTAGAACGACAAAGGAAGAGAGGTGACTTGATAGAGGCGTACAAAGTGATCAGAGGTATAGATAGAGTGGACAGCCAGAGACATTTTCCTAGGGTGGAGGTAGCTATTACGAGGGGGCATAGTTTTAAAGTGAGTGGAGGTAGATATAGGGGAGATGTCAGAGGTAGGTTCTTTACTCAGATAGTGGTTGGGGCGTGGAATGCATTGCCGGAGAGGGTAGTGGAGTCGGCCTCATTAGGGGCATTTAAGCGGCTATTAGATAGGCATATGGATGATAGTATAAGGTAGGGCTGGAGGCTAGATCGACCTTAGGTTTAGGGTAAAAGTTCAGCACAACATCGTGGGCCGAAGGGCCTGTACTGTGCTGTACAGTTCTATGTTCTATGTTCTATAAGAGGTTGTTGTGGGATATAGTCCATGTTTGCAAAGTTGCATTAAAATTACCAATGAAAACAATATTGTGCCACAGATGCCAACTGGCATGCAACTAGTTTCAGCAACATAATTAGCAAAAAGATTTAGATACTCAGGCATTTTTCTTTCAAGACAGTGGCAAACTGTAGCCATCTTCTATTTAAGCTAATTCTGCAAATTATCAAACAAAAAGTGTCTGCAAAATAAATAGTATATCACTATACTTAGTGACTTAAATGATCATTTCACTCCTATGATTTCATAATTCATTTTTACTGTATGACTTGAATATTGTGTGCTTTTAGTCACTGAAATTTGCATTTGATATATCAATAGCATGCAATATTTCACAGAAATAAGGTTCACACTACTTTTAATGCTTGCATTAAAAAGAGTGTATTAATAGTCAACTATAGAGTTACTTGCTACTAGGACGTCACACATCACACCCCTAACTTACATTACACAGTTATTACCCATTTGGAGTATCTAATATTTTTAAGCAGATTTGATGTATTCTTCAGGCATCTACAGAAATGGAACCTCAGTTAGCTCTGTATCAATTTTACCTGGTTTTGATCACATCAGAGATTTTTTGTTCCAGCTCTATTCGCTTCAATTTTTCCTTTTCTAGTTCTTGCTTAAGAGTTTCAGCATTTGTCTCTTCCCTAAGCTTCCTCAACTCTTCCTCTGTTTAGGAAAGAAATACAAGATCATGCTTTAATGAAAACCCATCACATTAGATTGGTCACTGTAATCATAATATATTATTCAGAAGTAGCAAGTTATTTATTGCACAGTACTTATCTAACTACATAGTCACAAAATTGACTTTATTGTTGTAAGCCTTTGTGAATCAATTACAATCTAATTTAAATAAAAACTTGTTCAGTGGATTTATGTTGTATGCCTGGGGCCAGTTTCATGTTTTGGGCACACTTATTACAATCTGCTTTTCATAAAATTTTGCCAAAATTGCAGGAAAAATCTTCCTAAAAGAAAAAGGACAAAGAAACAGAATTGCTTTCACGTAACATCATACTACATCTTTCACACCAATTCATAAAGATACTCATACAAATTAATTTGAAATGCAGTGACCTATGTAGATGAATTGAATTGCCATTCTATGCATAGTAACATCCCACAAAGCATAGTGAGATGGAAGGCCATGTGATTTGATTTTTGCTGAAGTTGGTTAAGGTGGTTATTTTTGGCTAGGATACCAGAAAAATGTCTGACTCTTCTTAAACTAGTACCAGGACTGTTTCTTCAAACATCCACCAAAAGAGAAATGGAGCCACAGATAAAAGAATAATTCAAAACAATAGCTTCGTTGGCAATGCAGCACACTCACACTGGATAGATAATAAATTAAACTCTTCTACTTGTATCACTCTAAACATGAGATAGCTTTTTAATGTTGTTTATTAAAGTAAACACTTCTGACAAAAGAATGTTTCAGATGTTTAACCAACTCTGGTACTACCTATAGCCATGCACTACTTTGTAAAGTGTTATTAGGTAGCAGAGTAAGCTGCTCATTTTTCGCAAAGGCAAATTGTCAAGCTACATAACATACCAAAAATCAAATGCCTGGAAAGTCAATGGCACATTTTGCATGTCAAATAATTTAGTTATTTTCTTGAAACTTCAATGAAAAATAATACATCCTCAGCATTTTAACATGATCATTAGCAATGGAAAACAATATAGCCAATTTGTGCAAAGCAAGCTCCCACAAAATACAATAATGATTGGATGAATTGTTTTATCGATGCTGATTTAGAGGTATTGATTGGAACGTATCAAGCATAACATCCTGGCTTTTCTTCAAACAATGCCTAGGGATCTTTAGGGCACTACAGTGTATCCTAGATTTTTGTGTTCCTACGTCTGATGTGGAACTTGAATCCACAACCCTCTGACTCAAGGATAAGAAACCTCCCAGCTAAATCGCAGCTGAGGTACTGTAGCCTCCTTCTTAAGAATTTCTACCTACTAAAACAGAAGTCGCTTCATTTTTAGTTATTTACTGAATAAGCAAATGTCTTTCAAATTTTTTTTCCCTAGAGATTAACATAAAATAGTCTTCACCAAGGTACATCACGATTTGAGCATTTAAATCTCTAGCTTTTTAAACAAACAGCATTTTCACCTAAAATTTGAACAAAACTGTAGTGTTGTGTTGGAAGTCTGGCCAATAGAAGCCAACCTTCCCTTTATCATGATTTCCTGATCATCAGGGCAAGCAAACCAACTCTTATGGTGACTCCTATTTACCACAAAATGGTGCAGGAGACTAATGCACGTTAACATTCAGCTCCCTTTCCTTCTTGATATTCTAGAATCTTTGTCTTAATAGAACACAGAACAGTACAGCACAGTACAGGCCCTTTGGCCCACGATGTTGTGCTGAACTTTTACCCTAAACCTAAGGTCGATCTAGCCTCCAGCCCTACTTTGTACTATCATCCATATGCCTATCTAATAGCCGCTTAAATGCCCCTAATGAGGCCGACTCCACTACCCTCTCCGGCAATGCATTCCACACCTCAACCACTATCTGAGTAAAGAACCTACCTCTGACATCTCCCCTATATCTACCTCCACTCACTTTAAAACTATGCCCCCTCGTAATAACTACCTCCACCCTAGGAAAAAGTCTCTGGCTGTCCACTCTATCTATACCTCTAATCATCTTGTACATCTCTATCAAGTCATCTCTCAACCTTCGTCGTTCTAAGGACAAAAGCCCTAGCTCTCTCAACCTTTCCTCGTAAGACCTTCCCTCCGTTCCAAGCAACATCCTGGTAAATCTCCTCTGCACCTTTTCCAATGCTTCCACATCTTTCTGTAACGAGCCGACCAGAACTGGACACAATACTCCAGATGTGACCGAACCAGGGTTTTATATAGCTGGCGCATAACTTCACGGCTCTTGAACTCAATCCCTCTATTAATGAAAGCTAACGCACCATACGCCTTCTTAACAACTCTATCCACCTGGGTGGCAGCTTTCAGGGAACTCTGGACATGAACCCCAAGATCCCTCTGCTCCTCCACACTGCCAAGAATCTTTCCGTTAGCCCTGTATTCTGCTTTCAAGTTTGTCCTTCCAAAATGAATCACCTCACACTTTTCAGGGTTAAACTCCATCTGCCATTTCTCAGCCCAGCTCTGCATCCTATCAATGTCCCTTTGTAACCTAGAACAGCCCTCCACACTATCCACAACTCGACCCACCTTCGTATCATCCGCGAACTTATTAATCCACCCTTCCACTCCTACATCCGAATCATTTACAAAGATCACAAATAGAAGAGGACCCAGAACAGATCCTTGTGGTACACCACTCGTAACTGAGCACCATGTTGAATATTTTCCGTCCACTATCACCCTTTGTCTTCTAACGGTCAGCCAATTCTGAATCCAATCTGCCATATTTCCCCCTATCCCATGCCTCCTTACTTTCTGCATGAGCCTACCATGGGGAACCTTATCAAACGCCTTACTTAAATCCATGTATACAACATTCACTGCTCTACCTTCATCCACGTGTTTGGTCACCTCTTCAAAGAATTCATTAAGGTTTGTGAGGCATGATCTACCCCTCACAAATCCATGCTGACTATCACGAATCAAACTGTGCCTATCCAAGTGATCATAAATCCTATCTCTCAGAGCCCGTTCCAACAATTTGCGCACCACTGACCTAAGACTAACTGGCCTGTAATTTCTGGGGTTATCCCTATTCCCTTTTTTGAACAAGGGAATGATGTTGATCTCATTGATCAATGAAAATGTCATCAGAAGATTAATAAGTGAGCTATTACTTGGACAAAAATTCTAGTTTAAGACATCATTGTCCATCATGCCTAAAATTTTGGCAAAAAGACATTACAAACAAAAGACAGAACTTCAGAAATGAATTAAATTTAGTTCTGCGAAAACAGTATTCAGTTATAGCGAGTATTACCCGTGGCTCAGAGCTGGAATTCTCACCTCTGAAAAGTTTGCAAATCCAAGATTGCATCACATGTTGTGATGAGGACAAAGAATCTGCGAGGAGATATATATAAGTTGCATCAGTGGGCAAAAACTTGGCAGATGACAATTAATGAAGGAAAGTATCAGGTCACGCACTTTGGTGGGAAGAATCAAAAGACAGAAATTATTTAAATGAAGAGAGATTCCAAAGAAGTGCAGTGCAGGGGGATCTCGGTGTTCTTGTGCATGAAACACAAAATGTTCACACACGTGTGCAGCAAGTAATTAAGGTGGCAATTGGAATTTTGGCCTTTACTGCTAGGGAGTTGGGAGTTTAAAAAAGTGAAGTTTAGTTACAGTTGAGCAGGATGTTGTCGCTGAGGCTGTACCTGGAGTGCTGCGCACAATTTTGGTCCACATACTTATAAAGGATATACTGGCATCGGTGCCTGTTCAAAAGGCTGATTCCTGATATGAAGGTTTTGACTTATTGAAACTGTCTAAACAGGTCAGGCCTTTATTCATTAGGCTTTAGAAGAATGAGGGGTAATCTTGCTGAAATGTATAAGATTGTGAGGGGGCTTACCAAGGTCAATGTTGATATGATGTTTCCACCAGTGAAAAATCTAGAACCACGGGATATCATCCCCTTATTCTGTACCTTTCATTTAAAGCTGAGATGCAAAGGAATTTCTTCTCCCAAAGGATAGTGAATGTCTGGAATTTTCCACCCTAAACAATCTGAGGCAAGATCACTGAAAGTATTCAAAGAGGAGGGAGATAAATTATTGAAATATCCAGGAGTCGATGGCTATGAGGGGCTGGCTCAAAGGAGGAGTTCAGGCCTAAGACAGATCAATCACGATCTTGTTGAATGGCGGAGGAGGCTTGGTGGGCTGAATGCTTTACTCCTGCACCTTATATTCTATCCTTTACCTTCCCTTCTATTCATCTTGGTCCTCCCCAATCCTCCTTTCAAAACTATAAAGCCAATTATACATCTACCTCTCTTCACTTCTGGAGAAAAGGCATAGTGGACACGAAATGATAACTCTGTTCCTCTCTCCACAGACACCATTGGACTTAAGGAGTTTCTCCAGTATTTTGTTCTTCATTCAAAATTACTCGATTGACTCTGGAGTGCTTTAGGATACCTGGAGATCATGAAAGTTTTACAACTGATGTCTGAAGTTACTAAATTCGACATTTAGAAATGAGGTCTACAAAATAATCAGGAGAAAGAAGACTTTATGTTCTGAATTCAAACAAAGTTGAGTAAATTCAAATAATTTTGGCTATTTCCAGTTGAGATTCCAAGTGTGGGATAGGGAAATGACTGCTGCAGGCTTCAGGTGCCTGGAACAAAGAATCAGGGTCAGTTGTCTGTAGCATCAATGCATCTTGTTCCTTCTCTTCCTTTAGTGACTTATTCTATTAATTATTCATGCATTTTATCACGACAAAGATCTGGAGAATTATTGAAACATCATTTATCACTGATTTTGCGGTTTATTCACATGTGTATGCTGAATAAAAATAAGATCAAGAAAATCTTCCCCAGGTGCCTAAAGACAGTCATTACATGAGCTATCAGCATTCTGGGTTACGGTTAAATCAATCAAACACAGCCCTAGCAATTTCTATCCTAATGCTAAACTCCAAAAATCAGGTTTTTCACTTCTAATCATATATTTTTGAAG